CACTGATAGGCTGCACTAATGGACAATGATAGGTGGCACTGATGGGCACTGATGAGGAGGCACTGGTAGGTGGCACTGATGGGCATTGACAGGCATCACTGATGGGCACTGATAGGCAGCACTGATATATGGCACTGATAGGGCGGCACTGATAGGTGGCACTGATAGGCGGCACTTACTGGCACTGATAGGCGGCACTTACTGGCACTGTTAGTTGGCACTGACTGACACTGTTAGGCGGCACTGATAGGCAGCACTGACATGCACTGATAGGCGGTACTGACTGGCAGCACTGATAGGTGGCACTGACTGGCACTGATGGGTGACACTGAAAGGCAGCTCAGATGGGCACTGAAATGTGGCACTGATGTGGCACTGATGGGCACTGATAGGTGGCATGGATGAGCACTGAGAGCTGGCACTGATGGGCACTGACAGGTGGCGCTGCTGGGGCTACACAGATCATCAGGGTACACTGATCATCAGTGCTGATGATCTGTGTACATGTCCCCTCCAAAGAATGCCGATTACCGGCTCTCCTCTCCTCACGAGCTGTCAGCGTGACAGTTCGTGGGGAGAGAAATGCCGATAACCGGCATTTCCCTGTTTACGTGTGATCAGCTGTGATTGGACACAGCTGATCACATGACCGAGCCGACATCTTCGGTTCTTTCCGTGGATCGGTGATCCGCTGTGTCTGAGGGACACAGCATACCGCCGACCGCCGCGCTGTGCGCTCCGGAAGCCGCGCATGCACGTTTAGAATGGGAGGACATCATATGACGTCCTCCCAGAACGAGAGAACCACATTGTGTCCGTCATATTACTATATGGCGGGCGGGAGGCGGTTAAAGAGTCTAATCTAAATGTATTAGTCCTTATTCGGGATAACATAATATATTACCTCCAATGAATTTGGGGTGTTGGTAAAGTCCTCCTTGATCAGGGATTTAAAATCAACATGAAAGGGAAGTAATGCTATGGAAAAGGGTTCAGGGACTTATTATTCTATGTGATAAAGAAGGGCTGCCACAATTAAGCTCACTATTTGACTGTCACAGCACTTCTATGTCACACAGACTAATAAATCCCTGAACCCTGAGTCCCACTTTCCAGTCGTATACAGCTTTTAACCGCTTGCCCTCCAGAGGATTTACCCCCCTTCCTGACCAGGCCATTTTTTGCGATACGACACTGCGTTACTTTAACTGACAATCGCGTGCTCATGCAATGCTGTACATAAATAAAAATTTGTGTCCTTTTTCCCATAAATAGAGTTTTCTTGTGGTGATATTTGATCACCTCTGCATTTTGTATTTTTTGTGCTATAAACAAAAACAGACTGACAATTTTGAAAAAAAAACAAAACAATATTTTTGACTTTTTGTTATAAAACATATCCAGTAAAAAATTTAACAAATCAAATTTCTAAAAAAAAATCCCAAAACATGTAAATTAATTGGTTTGTGTGACCGTTATAGCATCTACAAAAGGCGGTATATATACTGGAATTTAAATGTAAAAATTTTTTATACTAGTAATGGCGGCAATCAGCGACTGCGGTGGGCATTCTGACACTGGGTGGGAACTGACTAACTGCCACTGACATCCCAATGACACTAATACAGTGATCAGTGCTAATAAAAAGCAAAGACATTGTACTAATGACACTGGGCAGAAAGGGGTTAACATCTGTGACGATCAAAGGGTTAACTGTGTGTTTTTTTTCATTATTTGCTATGTGTGTTTTACTTGGGAAACATTTTGCTTTGTATTTCTCTGCTGTGTAGAGAAACACAAAGCAGCATGTCCTTGGCAGGAGAGAGACCTGTGTTGTTTACACAGAGGTCTCTCCCCTGTCAGCTTTTCCCAACGATCGCCTGGTGCCGGCTGGGAATCTCTGGCTGGGACCTGGTGATTGACATCCCTAGCCACCAATGGGGGTAGGGTGGTGCGCACACTTCCCCCCTTCCTGGAAACACAAATCACACATATATATATATATATATATATGTGATTTTGCGCAGCCCTGCAGCCCTGTAGCAGTAGTTCTACTATAGGGCAGCGTGAAAGCGGTTAAATCCTTGATAAAGGGGAACTTTAGCAACCCTCGAAATGCATTGGCTGTATCATCTGTCTTCCTAACTAAGGGCTAATACATTTAGATTTCTGGACATTAGATTTTTATTAGTGTCTGTGTACATGCAGGGTAGATTTGCCCCACCTATCTGTCCTGGTCACTGAAAAAGAAAGTAATATAAAATCTAACATTTTACAGTTGTCACAGGCATTGCCAGGAGGTGAAGGACAATCTTCCAATGAGGACATTTATTCCAGTGGCAACTATCTATTGGCAACCATATGCTTTTTGGTTTTATTAACCAATCAATGTGTGATTCAATTAAAATGTTCCTTCTGATTGATTTAGACTTGATGTACATAGATCAGATTTGATCAAACTGAGCCAATTAGCCAGGGTAGAAAATTATAGATTGTTTTACATAGGCAGTATGGAGATGCTTTGTTAATGAATTTGGTTGTATTTAAATTGATCCAATTATAAGATTGCATAATTAAAACAGAGATGCAATTGAAAACTTATGATTGTATCTTCCAACTAGTGATCAAAATCTCCTTCCCTGTATGTGGCATCTCAATTCAGCTATAGATCGATTATTCCTATGAGAGAGATTGATTGGAAAGCGAATTAATTATTTATCAAAGCATGTATGGCAACCATAAGAAGGGAAGTCTGATCACTTTAGGAGATATCCTCTAATTCATGCTGTGTCCCCAGGACAAGAAGCGAAGGGTCTACTCCCCAGGTAAAAAAAATATTGGCAGGGTTTTAAACCACTCTATCCTTAAAAATGTTTTGGTAATATAAATACAACAGTTGGAAAAAATATATCTGAAACATTCAACAGCACAAAAAAAGTTTAGGAAGAATACACATTTTTTTTAAGAGGTAGAACTGAGACTCTCTAGAGCAGCCTTTTTGCAACCAGGGTGCCCAGGCACCCTGGGATGCCTTCAGATTTCTTCAGGGGTGCCTTGGCAAAATGTCTACAAATTGGCCAAAAGTTGTATACAAGCCAGCAGATGGATCAATCCTGCTTGAATTACACAAAGCCACAGGTTTTCATTATGCAATGTTACAACTTTTTAGCCCTTGGTGACATAACAACCAATGATGTCATCAGTTGATAAGAAGCACCTGCACAGCACCCTTGCTTGCCCCTGTCAGTCAGCACTGGGGTCACATTAGCTGAGTGAAAGAGAGAAACTGAGGGAGAAGAGAAACAATGGAATACTAGGCAGTACCAATATGCAAAGGTGTATTTGCTTTGAAAGAATAAATCACCTCTAATGTTAGGTGTCCTACATGTGCAGATGTTGCTGCATCCTGTAAAACTATTAGTTTGCTTTTACATTTTGTAATGGTTGCAAAATTTTAAAAAGTTCCTCAAAATTGTGCAGAATATAAAGGGTGCCTTGACTGAAAAAAGGTTGAGAAAAACTGCTCTAGAGCAGACTTTCTCAACATTTATAGCACAAAGGAACCCTTGAATAACTTTCCAGTCTCAGGGACCCCCCTGCTAAAATGCTTCATTAGTGTGATGGTCAGTGGGAAGAATGTTCCTTGCACTTGTGTTTCATTGGGAAGAATTGCCCTCTTATAGATAGCTAAAAAGATCAGTGGTGTCCAGGGGTGGGTGGGCAACTCATGGGCCCCTGGGCAATAGTGGATAATGAGGCCCCTGTGTCTTCGCCCACACTCAAACCACACCCAAAAAAGCCTATGAAAGGTACCAGGGGCATCTCATGGGGCCTCCTACTGTCCCTGGGCCCTCGGGCAGTGCCCGAGTGTCCGAATGGTCAGTCCACCCCTGGTGGTATCAGTGAGAACTTATCTGAGAAGCAGAAATTCCTCATTGCTCAAGGAACCCCTAGCAAACTCTGGAGGAAACCTGGGGTTCCATTGAACCCTGGTTGAGAAACCCTGCTCTAGAGAAATTAATGTAGGCTTATAGAATGAGAGTCAAAGTTTATGGTAAAGTGACTATTGTGCACGTGTTAAAAGATTGTATTTTTTGGGGGGTTTAAAGATAAGCAGTTGCCACAATAACTTGTATGTTTCTAATTTTCTATTCTAATCCAGCTTTAGAAGATCTCATCCTATTCTTATTGCAGGACTTTCAGTTACAGGGTGTCTGTTGCCTCTGGTTTGGTGGAACTTTTCCCTGTCCTTATGAAGCCTCTCTCTTTCCTCTGGGATCTTGACCAATGGGGCATGTGCCCCATACTTCTCCCTTTGAGTACAAAGGTCCAGCATGGAATCTGGCAGGCTGGTCCTTGCCTCTTCCATATGAGGAACCTTTCAACCTCTGTGGAAATCATGAAATTCCTGCTACGTGTACCAATTTTCCCAGTGCTTCTGCACTTCTTGTATCTCCTTGTTGGAAACTTTTTCTCAGTGTGGCCCTTCTTTGTGTCTGTCCTCTGCTCCTCAGTTCTTACCATAGCACTTATCCCTGTTTTTGCTCTACTTCGGCTGTTTGATGTTAGACTACCCTCTTCTGAAGGTGCGATAAACTTAGACTCAGTCAGTCAATGTTCTTGAGACCGTTCAAACCCTACTGAAATCCTGGAGGATCCTAATTCTCCAGAACTCAGAATCAACTCATTGCTTAAAATATTTGACCCTGACTCTAGTCTCAGCCCTGTTTAAGGTTTTTTCCTTTTCCTAGACAAGCTGCAGTCTATTTGCTCACACGTTCAGACTCTGCAGTCCAGGGCCAATGACTGTACACCGTGGTATGAATTCTAGCTTCTCCAGTTGGTAGGATCACCGTGGGGCCTTGAAGAGCATTAAGCGCCCTGGCAATTCCTTCTGGAGGCCACATGCTGAAGTCACAAGACTGCTCTAACTGCTGATGAGAAAAGGTATTTAGCAGTTTATATTTACTGAAATAATTGCATTTCCATGTTGTGTGTACTGTGGGAGACCAGATATAGGGAATGCAGGGTCCTGGGTTTAGTATCACTTTTTTTCTTCTTTCTTCACCTTAACTAGAACAATGTTTCAAGTCTTCTCAGTCTTGCTTTTGTACATCTTCTGGAAGTTTCCTATCCATTAGTTCGCTGGGGTACGTGCTATTCGAGGTATTTCTCAGCTGCTACCCTTCTGTTTTTTTTACTCTCTGAGACTAGTTTTGCATATAAGGTGCATTGGGTTGCTCTCTGAGTTCTTTTGAGCCTTTCCCTGACCCATTTACACATGGGCCTTGTAGCCTTTAGTAAAAAAGAAGATTTTAGAGTCAACTTATAATAAAAAGCGATAACTGAAAAAGTAACAGTAACCACACAAGGCAAAATTAATGTCTTTTTAAAAGCGGTCATGTGTTGGTTCAGATGAAAATGTATTCACTATGCATTATATATGGAACATTACAAAGTTAAGCCACCCTGAAAAGTGTCTAGGTTTTCCCATGCATACAGGCCTTCTTTGCTGTTTAGACAAGTGGCAGTGGATACTAAAGGTCAAAGAGAAAGTGCAGAAAAATGTGCATGTGTCAATTTCCATTGTTTTTCTTCCATCTGTGTCTATCACTGCCACTTGTGTGAACAACAAAGTATTGCATGAACAGGAAACACCCTGTATGTAACTGCCAGCTTGGCACAGTGTAGTACACAGCAGCCTTAGAAGCGATTGGGTGCTGCAGGGAAATGTGAATATTTAACTTCACAGTCAAAAATTCATTTTAAATAGGACCAAACAGACAGTGTCTTTGATTTGATATATTCATTGCTGTTGTAGGTTTCGTCAAGAATCTTGTGACAATCCCAGCAGATGTACCCCAGATAAGTGTCTATTAACTAAATTGTATTTTCCCAGCTGTCAAACTGGTGTTCACCTTAGACAGTATTTCATCAGAAATAATCAGAAATGTCTGTTTGAGACAAAAAGATATTTACATGTGAGTGATCTTTTCCTAGTATCTGATCCCCATCTATATGTATGTTTTCATATACAGAAGTTCAGAAAGCTGTTGAACAGTATGCAGAATTCCAGTGGCCAGTCTAGATAGCGGAAGTCCAGTTTAAAACTTTATAAACATATTAATTGCATATGCCCCAAATTTTATGTCAAGTTTTTATAATTACTGCCAATATGGAGTACTGATGAAACCCACATCTGCCTTTTTGCAGCTTGTGAAGGCTCATACACTCACCCAGTGGTGGATCTTTTAGTAGAATAGTTGTGTTGTAATGGAAAATCCAGGATTCTTTATTCAAAGTATCTAATTTCAAACCCCTACCACTCAATAAATTAAATATCTGCCTCAATACTTAGATTGTAAGCTCCAAGGAGCAGGCCCTGCTAACCCTCTTGTATTTAACTGTCTTGTTGCTGTATTGTCTCCCGTTATATTGTAAAGTGCTGAGCAAACTGTTGGTGCTATATAAATCCTATATAATTATTATTATTATTATTATACAGGATTTATATAGCCCCAACAGTTTGCTCAGAGCTTTACAAAATGAAGGTAGCCGTTACAGTTAAAATACAATTTGGTACAAGAGGAAACAGAGGGCCCTGCTCGTTAGAGCTTACAATCTAGGAGGAAGGGTTGAGTGATACAAAAGGTAATAGCTGTGTGGGGGATGAGCTGATGGAGGAAATAAATGGTGGTTTACTAGGTAGAAGCAGTAAAGACTTCTTTAAAGAGAAAGGTTTTCAGGGATCGTCTAAAGGTGGATAGATTAGGAGACAGCCAGACAGATTGGGGTAGAGAGTTTCATAGGATGGGAGAAGCTTGGGAGAAGTCCTGGAGGTGAGCATGAGGAGGAGGTGACACAGGAACTAGAGAGCCGAAGGTCTTGGGTGGATCGAAGAGAGCGGTTTGGTTGATATTTTGAGACCAGGTTGGTGATGTAGCTGGGGGCAGAGTTGTGGCTGGCTTTGTAAGTTGTTAGTATTTTGAATTTATAATAATAACTATATTATGTCCAAAACTGGATTTATCACTAGACACAGTAGGCTTGTCTCTATAGGCGGCAGAGGGGAAGAACAACTTTTCTCTATACTGTTATTGGCTACACATTCTTTACCATCATCAGTAAAAATACAGCCAGCTACAGTCAGCTTATGTACATACTACCATTAAACACTAAGTAAGGCTAGGACCGGTGAAACAAAAAAATATTCTGTAAATGTGGAGTTCTTAGCACAAGGGAGTTGCTTACAGACTTTAGTGATAGAAATCCAGCATTGCCTATGTCCTGTGTATATGTCCCCTATTTCTATTTCTATTTCATATAACAATTGATCTATGCCTAGCATCAGTGCTGGGACAAGGTCATCTAGCACTCAGGGCGAAGATGTCAAACAGTGCCCCCCTCAATGTATGAGCATTATGTATCAGCAAAAATCCCCTCCTTCCCCCTCCCCCCCAAATAATTGAAGCACTACAGGGGGCTATAGAGGGATATAAGATCGCAGTGTGGAGGCCCCACACTATAAATGACATTGGCTGTCAGATTGCCACTGTACAGTGTTTGCTTACCTGTCCCCTACCCATGTTCTTTGCTGGAAGGAGTTGTTGGAAGATAAAACACTGCACAGTGGCGATCCAGCAGTCCCAATCCAGGAGAGCCAGGGGAGGACTAACAACTCATGCGGGCCCCTGGGCAATAGGGGATCATGGGGCTCCTGTATCCTTGCCCACACTCAAACCACACCCAAAAAAGCCTATTAAAGGTACCAGGGGCATCTCATAGGGCCCACTACTGACCCTGGGCCCTGGGGCAGTGTCCAAATTCCTGAATGGTCAGTCCGTCCCTGAGGAGAGCTGCAGTGGCAGGAGCAGGAACTGGAGAGGAGAAGGAGCACAACCTGTCCCTTCTCCCGGCTCTCTCCTCCTCTCCAGATCTGACTTGTCTCCTCCAGTGCTAAGCTGACAAAAATAGTGAAGCTGGCATCACTACTCCTCTCAGCTTGAAGGTAGGAACTATCCATGCAGTGCCCCCCCCCACCTCACATAATACCACCGCACCCAGGGCAGTCGGCCCTGCTGCTACCCCTTGTCCAGGCCCTAAGTTGCATCAGCCATTCTCTAGCCTGATACATCTACATGCAACCATGTATGGCCATGACCATTTATTTGTTTTTTTCACTGTCTTAGGAGTACTCTATTAGTAAATGTATGCGGAAATTCAGTTTGGATTCATTTGTTTATTTTTAATGTTTGAAGCCTTATTTTTATTTATTTTTCCTTTAATGATAATTTTATGGACCCTTTTAACAAACCCAGAGACCCATAACGTGCTATTCCAGACTACCAATTGTGGAAAGCAGACAGCGCATATGTGTGATCCTTGGTATCTTTCCTATTCTCAGTTCATGTCCGATCATGCTACTCTTTAAACTAACCATACTAACTGAATTCAAAAAAGGGAATGCTTACAAGTGCTGGCCATTTGATGACAGCTGTTAAATAATACATTTTTCAAAGTTGCTTAGAGTCTCTGGGTTTCATTCATTTTTTAATATATTTATTTGTTTTTTTTTATGTATTTTAAAATATATTGAATATGGCCAAAATTGTAGCATTTCAAATTTATGTCAATATATTTGGGAAGAATATTTTTAAAATATATTTCAAATATATTTTTCTTCCATATGGACTGTCAGGAAGAATGCACCTGTTTGCATGAGTCCTAAAGATCACCCTCCTTTATTCATCCTGTTCAGTACACCCTACCAGTCCTCTTTCTGTTTCAACATTTTTTTTATTGTGGTTCAGCAAAAAAAGAACAAGACATACCCATAAGTCGCCCAAACAGTGGCCAGTATTTCAGTTAGAAAAACCAGAGAAAATATATACTGCATTTACATGATAGCCATTACCAGGCAACATTAAGCCATACGGCTGGTAAGTAGTTACAAACAATAGAAAATAACCATGTCCCCCAAGGTGGGGGTCGTCATATTGTAGAGGGGTCACCTCCAATTGGATTGCCCCCTCCCACAAATTAGAATTCTGAAGACATAAATGGAAAAGAATGGGAAAAAAAAGAGAGAAGGGGAAAATAGAAGAAGTAGACAGATTGAGAGAGAGTGAGGTAGAGAAGAGAATGGACTCCTCGGACTTGGAAGCGCCACAGGTAGCAATCATAGGTGGCTGGAGCAGGCCGGGTGCGGCATGGGGAATACATACTATATCCAAGGCTCCCAGACTTTAAGGAGTTTCGAATGTGAGTCATTCTCGATATTTGCTCATTAAGCATCAGAGTAGTCATCCGTTCCTCCAACTCCCTGGAGGGCAACCCCTGGAGTCTTTCAAGCCTGGCTGAGATAAAGAGATAGATGGCTAACCTTTCTTGAGAGGCATATAGGCCATGTATGGGGCAGTGCAGGAGGACCAATATGGCATCTACCAGTCCTCTTTCAGTCAAATGTTTCTGTGGTTGGATGTGGCTACACTAACCTCCCTTCAGCACAACTTCCTTTTGACACCATCAATTAAAGTGATTCTAAAGTTTCCCTTTTTTCATTAACACATGTGTTATACTTACCTGCTTTGTGCAATGGTTTTGTACAGAGCAGCCCTGATCCTCCTTTTCTTGGGTCCCTGTCTCCCGGCTCTTCCCCACACCTATAGAGGCACTTGTGTGGGCTCCCTCCTGAGTGAGGCTGTTTGCATCTATACAGACACACAGCCCGGCTCAGCCCAGCCCCCCACTCTGCTCACAGGTTTTGACTGACAGCAGCAGGAGCCAATGGCTTCCACTGCTTTCAGCCAAGCCTGTGAGAGCTGGGAGATGTGCACAGCGCTAGATCGAGCTCAGTTGAGTAGTTAAGGGGGAGCTACATGTAGAAGGTTTTTTTTACCCTAGTGCAGATAAAGCATTAAAGCGGAGTTCCACCCAAAAGGGGAGGTTCCGTTTTAATGCTCTGTCCCCCACTCCCTATTAAGGATTGGCACCTTTGGGGACCTGGGAGGAAGGTACCCGAATTTGACAGGTACCCA